TGCAGTCTAGTGGGTCAGACAGGCAAGTGAACTGGTGAACACAATAGAGTGTGTGTTAAGTGCTATTGCAGGGTTAACAGAGGGTGTCGTGGGAGCACAGGAGAAAGGCACGAATCCATGCTGGGTCATGGATACTTGCCAAAGAGATGTCTAACCTGAGATCCGAAGAATAAACTGGAGTAAGCCAGAGGAGGCGTGAGGGAGAAATCTTTCAGGCAGAAGGATCACGGTATTCTCAGATGGAGCACGTTAGTGGGAGTAGACAGGCAGGGGAAAAGAGGGAAGAGAGAGGAACCTGAAGGAGACAGAGTCAGAGCTACGTCCAAGGAAAACTAGCAGGGAGGCATTGCACCAGGGGGCAGAAATCTTGGTCAAAGGACACATTTTCTGTCTTAAAATTCAGGGACAGAGTTTCTGCATCTAATTTTAAGAGTACAGCACTATTACTGGAGTACATGAGAAAGGTCTGTTTTTATTTGCTTGACAATACCCTTATTCCTTATGCAATTCATTGGTAATTTGATCTACTTGGGGGAATAGCATGTGCAGACCACAGATAATATCTTGTGCTTTGTCCATAAATGAAGAATCCCTCCAAGAAATTATCATCATTATTTTAATTTGAAGATCTCAGAGAAATCTGATTAGAAGTTGATTTTAACAGCAAAGGCCCTAATCAAACCAAATTCTATCAATAAGCATTTATTGAACAACTATTATGTTTGAGGCGTAAAATCTATATGTTGTGGCAATTTGCTTTTAAGACAGAAATTGATTGCCTTGATGATTTGATGTGTTGAGAAACAACTTTTGTATGGCTGCCCTGACAGGATGGATCCCAGTTGTATAAGATGTCAAAGACTGTGTGAATATGCAGATAATTGGCTTGGTGTGAACATCTTTGGTTTCCTCATTTCTCAGATCCTCTGCCAGAGCAACATATTGGGAGGCTTGACTTTCCATTGCAGAAAATTCCTGATCATTTCACACAGAAATTGTGTTTGTTTATTTTTCATTGTTGTCCTCAACAAGAGGTGGTTGCTTAGATTAGACCGAATTAGTAATCAACAGTCAGTTACTGGATGCTCTCACTGGTTGCTTAGCTCGTTTCCCTAGATCTGCTGTACCTCACGTGTTCCGTGAAGACAGTATTCACCTACAATAATATCTCTGACATCACTGGTTCCAACTCCCCACTATGCACATCAGAGATTCTTATGTTATGCCATCGGACTCAACTTCTTCCTTCTTCCCATGGCCACCATGGCATCTTCTCCGCTCTACTTCTCTCACTTGAATGCCCCCAAATTCCTGTTTTTATTTAATAGGCCAAGGTACAGTGGTTTATGGGAGTAGCTGCGTGCACATATGGATGAGCTGTTATCCTGAAAGCACGTGGGGCTAAGCCCTGGCCCACCCATGCACAAACATCCCTTTTAGGGTTTCTACTTTATTCAAAATTATAACCCATATCCCTATAGACAACACTTCATGGCATAAACAAAATCTTATGAATCATTAAAGAACACAATTATTAAGTTCTGTACTTCCATCTGTATTGCCATTAAGTCATTGGGGGTTATTTTTTGTCCCTAAAACAGATACATTATTTTAATTGCTTTGTAATGAATGCATATATTTTATATATAGATTAATTTACATGGTTAAGTTTTTGCATTTCTTGAAAATTCAGGATATCAAATAATGTAATTTTTTGACAAATTGAATCCTTCATCAGTTTAGGTTATACGTGTGGGTATTTGAAAGGGTCTGCTAACTCATTTCCCTTCCTCCCTCCTGTTCGTTTCAGTCTTTTCTTGAAATTAGTGATACTGTTTTTTGAACAATTAAAAACTAGATAGAGTGATTCTTTGATAAACTTAGTAACAGATTTTCTTCAATATTGTCATTTGCAAGGCCATATTAAGCTTGAAATCCAAGAAAGTAAACTGGTAAACACAATGACCGGTGTGATTTGAAAACTCATCATTCTTTGAAGAGCGTAGCAGATACTTTCACATTCACCTTTCAACCTAATTTTTCTAATGGGGGTGGGGGTGGGAGGGTGAAGCTCCATGCATCCTTTTAATAGAATCCATGCATCCTTTTAATAGAGTGTTCTCCACTTATTTTCATTTCAGAGATACATAAACATAATAGTAAAGTGAGATGGACAGCTGCTACTTGGCCCTGAAGTAAAGAGGTAGTGTGACTTGGTTGGACAGGAGTCAAGGTCTGATATGTGAGACCCCAAAGCATCAGAATCTACAGCAGGAGGCAGCTGTGGAGCAAAGGCGTGAGAGCCTGGTGCTCACTTTGCATGGAAGGATTTCTCTTGACTATTGTGGACAGAAGTCAGAGAAGAAGCAACATCTTATGGCCTCCTAACCTAGAGAAGAAGACTGAGAGAAGGAAGTAGAAACAGTCCCCAAATACTGTAAGGTTTTTTAGCTCATGCCAATGCTTTTCTCTTTTCCTCTGGAAAAAGACTGAAATGACTAAAGAGTATTTTTTTGTCGAAACCAAAAGGCTTACTTTCTAAAAGTAGTGTTGGTTAAATGACTCACTACATGAGTTTTAGAAAAACAGGAATTATACAAATGTACTCCTGTGATGTAAAAACACCACATTCACACTGTCTTCATTATTTAAAACTACAGTATTTAAAACTGCAGTAGGTATTACAGTACAGTCATCCCTCAGTTTCTGACGGGGTTTGGTTCTAGGAACCCCACCAATAACCAAATCCTTAGATGCTCAAGACCCTTATATAAAAGTGCATAGTATTTGCATATAGCCTATGCACAGCCTCCTGTACAGTTTAAATAGTATCCAGGTTACTTATAATACCTAATACAATGTAAATGCTGCGTAAATAGCTGTTATAATGTATTATGTAGGAAATACTGACAAGAAGAAAAGTCTGTATATGTTTAGTGTAGACACAACCATCATAGGCCTAACTATACAGTCCTGTCAGTAACAACAGAACCTTTTCTTCTGAATATTTTCAATTTGCAGTCAGATGAATCTGCCTAAGCAGAACCTGTGGATATGGAAGGCTGACCATATTGGATTCCCAAGAGGTAAGAACCACATAGTCAAATAAGAATATGCTAATTTTTATCCATTACGATATGAATGTAAAGCAATGGATTTTTTCGTTTTGGATTTTCAACAAATTTGGAGATAGTCCAGATGATCTGACTGAAAATGTTGCTATGGGATAGAAATGAAGTTTGGTCTGTTGATTGGCAGATAGCACCATAAAGTGACAAGTGAGTCCCCTCCCCACCAATTGCAAATATTGGTTTGTCAAGAAGCTGCTTTGCACATGGCCAAATGGGAATTACTAATTCAGAGATGGTTAATTATCCTCCTGAGCCATAATGGATTGGTTAACTGGTATGTAAGCATGAATAATCAATGTTTAATACTCCACACCGTGACTGCTGAAGTCACATTTTGAATGAATCATATCAACATTTTCAAATCTTTGAGTAAAGAAGTATGTCATGAAAAAGTTGGATGTTGAGTACACATAATACTTCATAAAGAAAAAATAACCTTATAAAGAAAAAAATTAAATTTCTGTAGCATATGTTAAACATTTTAAATTAATTACACATTTTCATTCTGCATCATTGTTCAGTTCTAAAGTCCCATCTTAATTTCCAATAGAAAACACATGTATTCATGCTATTCTGTGGAAAGGGATGGTATGTGATTTTTAAAAAAAATTATTATTTGTTGTCTAATTTCCCCAATTTTGCAGTGTATTGGAGTAATTTTGAAATGTTTTTTATTTGTAGTGTTGAAAATTGTAATCATTGCTTCCATCTTTATTGTTAGAGCACTTATTTTTCTGGTATGCTAGTATAATTTTGCCACAGTTTAAGTGTATCTATTGGAAACCAAAAGGCTACTACTGTTCTACTTAAAAGTTATGTCTTCAACTGACAAAACTTGCCATTTTATGTCTTATTTCAGAATATGATTTCCCAGAATAGTTTCATTTCTAGGGCTAATACACAGAAGAGAAAAGTAAAGGCTGAGGAAAGTGCTTTTCCTGGGCTCAGAATAAAGACATTCCATAGTATCTGGCACAGATCATGATTTCATTTGAATTTTAGTTCATTTGAATTCTTGCAGCAATTCCCCCCACAATCACAGACCAAGTATGGCCTATCTAATTCCTTTTGGCTTTAGTTGGTTTTGGTTCTAAATAGTCCTGAAAGCAAGGTGACCACAGTAACAGTGGGTTAGTTATCTTCCTCTCCCACTTTAACTTTGTTTCATTTGTCTTGGGACCATATTGCCCAGCTCAGAGGTGGGCACACAGTGGGCACTCCCTAAATGTAAACTGAAGAAATGAAGGTGGCAACTGTAAACTGATGCTTATTTTAAATGGTTGTAGTAATACTGCTCACTGAGGTTAACATGACGTGCTATTGCATGGACTCCATTATCTCTAAGTCACCCAGACAACCGAGGAAAGCCAGCACATGCTCTGGCTCCAATCATCAGTCCAGTCAAAATAAAATAGGTGCTTTTCCTTTCAAGCCATACTGTGGATATAGGGCTTCTGAACAGCATCACATTAAAAAGGTAACTTCAACTGAATATATTTATTTTATGTACTTTCTGGGCTTAGTAGGACTCACCTTGAAAACCGAATCTTAGAGAAATCAATTGATCTCCCCAAGATCGCCCATCCACTCAGCAAGCTCATGGCTGGCATGAGAATCCGATGCATGAACAACCATGACTTTGAGGAGACATTCCTGAAATACTGTTTGGTTAACAACTGAGTTAGAAAAGAAGTGTAACATTTAACAAGTAATAAAAATTTTAAATGCCACTAGTTGTAAGATAGCAGAAACTGCTCTCAGGAAAAACACAGACTAAAATTCAGGAGGTCAGAAAAGCCTGCAGCAACTCTCCCTGTGGAATCAGAGCATGTGTTCAAACTTGCAAATACATTTGTGGTTGCTTCCTACCTTAAATACATTGATAGGGAGATCAATGACCACATAGATAAGGTCTCCAAGGGCAAGGCTGGCTATCAGCGCGTTGGGGCCATTCCTCATACACTTGTTCTGGTAAATGATCCTGAGCAGAGTTGCATTCCCCACCATTCCCACGATGAAAATAGTACAAGATATCACAGTGTTAATGTATTTGAAAGCTGAAGTAATCTTAGTCTGCTGTGGGCAATAGCTGTGCATTGAGCCATTGCTGGGTAGGGCCAAATTAGTGGGTCGATGAGTGGTAACCAGGAAGCTGAGCTCTGTCCCAGGAAAGGTGGTCACATCGTCCACACGAGTGCTTAGATTTGTGCTGTAGCTTTCAGGATTATCACTAATTACACATCCAATCAGCGCTACCCAAAAGGACACCCTGAAGCAAAAGGTTTCCATCTTGATGCAAATTTGAGGAAACGTCTCTTACTCTGTTGCTTTCACACCCTCACTTGTGGTGTTTTTTACCTAGAAAAAGGAGAAAAAATAATTTTGGTTACAACATCCAGCTGCCAGTAAGACTGCAGTCAATGATTATTTACTGCTTCAGTTAAAGAGCAGGATATATTTGGTAATTAGATAAGATGTATCTATGTCAGCTTACCCCAAGCAGAACAAAACCAGCAAAGAGCAAAGCTCTATTAGGGCAAGTTCTCTCTTTCTCTCTCTCTTACTCTCCCTCCCTCCCTCCCCACTTCCCTCCCTCTCTCTCTTCCTCTCTCTCTCTCTCTCTCTCTCTCTCTCTCTCTCTCTCTCTCTCTCTCTCACAAACACACTCATATGCACATCTCTCATCTCTGTCCACAGCTATACTTACATCTAGAATATAATACACATGAGGATATGTCAGTTTTTCCTCTAAGGAGTAGATTACAAGTTGCAGTTTTCTATGCACTACACTAGGCTGATAAGAACCTGAATTACAAAAATCTTTGAGAGTTGAGATAAATTTTATTAGTGGAAGAGAAAAGGCATTGAATGTTGAGCAAAAGTTACATAGTGTTAAGGCACAAAATTACCAATTCTATAATTAAGAATCCAATGTTCCAAAATGTGTGCTGTTTTGCCCGTGGTAAATAATGAACATGGGACTCAAATGCAGCAGGGGTAGCCGTTTTAAGTGTTACACAATGTTAATTTAAATTCAGAACTCTGGTTAACACCATCAATACATATAACGATTTTAGTTTTGATTAAGCATGATATAACTGATAAAGAAAATATTTATTTTTATTGAAAAGCTTGATTAATGTGTACAACCTACATCTTCTGACAGGAGTTTTTGGCTTTTCCATTCCTCAGAAATTATGGGCACGATATTTGCCAATGAGTGAAACTGAGAGTAATGGACTTTCCCAGGCCAGGGGCACCCCTGGTTTTCCGAGGGACACCCGTCTCATGCCTAATGACGGTGCTGAGCCCGCCCTCCACGTGCGTGCTGCCATCTCCTCTGTGCAGCGACGCTGTGAAGCAGATGCACGTTCCACTACAAAGGCAGGGAAACGCGCAGGTACGTCAAGAGGCCTGCCAAAGGCACAGGTGGTGGGCGGCAGTGCGGTGATTCTGAGGCACATTAATCCAGCTTTGAGCCTGAGCTCTTGCCCTCTAGCCATGCCATCTCATTCTCAGGCCTCCTTAGCACCGGAAATGTTTTAGTGAAGCCTCCAGAGTTTCAGTGAAGCAGTAGACTCAGGAGGGTGGTTAGATGTTCTCAAAAGAACATCTGCTTGTTGGTGTGCTTGTTTTAGTCACTTTTGGAGAGCAAGTGGTCTTTCTTGCCCAGGAAGTCTAGATGTTTCAACCTTAATCCTGAAAAGATGTTGGGAAAATGCGAGGGGTTGGTGCTAGAACAGTAATCAACGGTAAATAAAAATGGCTCCTCACATTTAAATAGTTTTATATTTTCTTTTTTGGTTAGTTTTTATGAATCTTTAAATGAGGACCATAAGTTCATTTATGCAGTGGTGTGTGTGTGTGACATATAATTTAATTTTAAAAAATCATGTCCTTTTTCTGAGTCTGTTCATGGTTGGCATTAACCACTTTTAGGGATTTTGAGTTACCTTTGACAGTTATCAGTAAAGCTTAGGTTTAGTCAATATGTGGAGGACATGAGATTCGAGTTGTATAAAAGATCTAAAGTAAATACAAGGGGCAAATACTGCATACTTTGGCCTTCTGCAGGGATTTTCCCGAGGAACCTGAAACAGCAGCATTTCACGTGCAGTAGTAATGTATTATGCATGGATCTATTATCTGACTTGAACTTTACAACTCTAGGTAGCTGTGGCCAATATCCCCATTTTACTCATAAGGAAACTGAGTCTTAAAGAAGTTAAGTCAAGTTTTCATGGCCAAGAAGAGACAGTACCTCACTTTACTTTGCTTATAGGACTTGACTCTGTCTGATATAAAAATAAATGATAAAACGGGATAAAAACATCAGTTTTCCTAAGCTCAGTGCATACTATGTACATGTCAGGTCTGCCTAGACTTATAAGTGGTCGGCAGTTTTTTCTTGCTTCTTACACTCTGGAGTGAGTATCTGAGTGAACACTGATGGACGCTGTGCCCGTTCGGCGTTGGAGACCCAGCTCTGAGAACAAAGCAGCTGTCGTCGTCCTCTCCAGATCAGAGACGGGAGGGGGCATCCTTCAGCATCTGGTGTGTTTAATGACTAAAGCCTCCTCCGAGTTTCTCAATCGGAATGGAACCTTCTCTGAGTTTTATTAAAACTAAGAGAGGGAAGGCTTTTTCCAGAGACGGAATGTCTCCTTGCCCCTTCGAGTCTGCTAGGAGGATATTTAGTGGACTGACCTGGCTATCGGAAGTGTCCCGCCACCCACAAGAGGTGCCCTTAGTGTTTGATCACCAGCTTGCCAGTTCGCTTGGCCAGCTGATTACAGCAGGAGGCAAGGAGGCCAACGCTGTGGGTTCTAATCAGTGTGTGAGCTAGGTACTGTTAAAATCACTTTCCTTCTCTTCCAACAATGACCCTGCCACAGAAATCATTTCTGATGACATCTCCCTCAGCTCTCTACACATATTAAACTGCAGAGCTAAGGGATCCTTGGCAAAGACATGCGAATACTGTTTATAATGGGCGAAAAATACAGAACCACACAAAAGAAGCCTCTTCAAATGCATGTTCCTCCAAGGATGAGTCTGTAGCTCATTTCCAGGGATCTAAGTCACCCTGTGCTTGGAATAATCAGTCCTAACCAGGCGCTAGTGAAGGGCCTCAGGTTCAGACCTCAAGGACGTGGTTTATACATCCAGCATTCTTCTGCTTGGTGCCCAAGAATTTGCTGAGGTTCAAAAGCTATTATTAAGGAAGGGGACTGAATCCTTATGCTTACACTTGAACCATTTAACATCTGATTCTCAGGATCAAAGTTCACCTGTACCGTAATTAGTAATTTGGAAATTCCAACCTTACCCAAATGGCCTGAGTTCAGAGCAGGTAGTTTACACGAAATGACTGTCAAGAATGTTTCTCAATTAGTTAACACTTAAAACAGAAGGGATGGGGGTGGGGTGGGGAACGGAAGAAGCCATGAACATCTACAAGAGACACAGAAAACTAGGTACTTTTTACAAGTTTTCCGTGGGCTTTGCGCGCTGGGCAAGAAGTTAGCAACTGTCCTTACTGACAAGGTCTGACTTTAATTTGCCTCCCACCCAACCCCCTCCGCCGTCAGCTCCATCCGGAACGCCGTTAGGATGGTGTAAACAGAGGCCGGTTATCTACAAGCAGCCCTAGTTTTCTGCACGTGAAAGGCAACAAGTGCCCTTTAAAGGACAGCATAGAACCAAATGCCCAGATGTCCACAGGCAGGTTTCCAAACCAGCTGCGCTGGGGGTTTTCCAAAACATCTGTCACTCACACCGAGTGCCCTTGGCTACTCTTGGCAACCCCGCTGTGCAGGGAGGAGTAGCAGGCGAGCAAGAAAAGGCTGCGGGACACCCCTCACAAGCAGGCGTTGGAGCCTGAGACCAGGGCGTGCTGTTCCACAAAGTTCTTGCGCGCCAGGGGAAAAGGGAGACCCAGGGAGAACTGTATATTTTCCTCTAACTAAAAATCCGAATCCCGCCTGGGGAGCCTGCGGGGCTTTCGATCAGTTCTTCAAACCCAGACGTGACCCCACAGCACCCCTCCTGGGAAGGCGCCCGCGCCACTATGCGCCCCTGGGCAGGTGGTGCCAGCCTGTGTGCGAGGGTCGCCCAAGGCGCAGGGCACCGGGCGGAAATGATACCCGCGCCCTCTCCTCCCACCCCAGGGGCTCCGGCGGCGTCGCCCCCGCCCCGCC